GGGAGCCTTTCTGCTGCCTTCCCCAGGGGGTGACCTGGACCCCAAAGGCACAGCTGCAGAAAAAAGCTTATTTTGCAATTGCCCTTGCACCAAACAGGGCTGCTTTGGTTCCCTCTTCCCATCACTTGGAGCTGCTTCCCATGCCTGGCTCCGACAGGGAGCTGCTCCTTAGTGGTTTATTATGTCCTTACTATAGGCAGAAGCAGCTGGAGGACATCTTGGTCCTGGCAAAGCAGTTCCACGAAACCACGGAGCCCGTGTCGGACTGGCTGTCGGTGACAGAGAAGAAGCTGGCCAACTCGGAGCCCATCGGTACCCAGACTGCCAAAATCCAGCAGCAGATCAGTCGGCACAAGGTAGGACCCGTGCGTGAACGGGAGCTGCCGCTGGAGGTGGTTGGTATCGGGTCCCGTTCAGGTGGCTGTTTCTGCCATGGCGAGGGGGTTTTTGGCCCGAACAAGTATTGGAGGAGTTATCCAGGCTGCTTTATCTACAGAGAAGGCTGCAAACCCTAGCCCACCGGTGTGGGTAAATATTAAGCTGATGTCTTTGCACCTCGCAGCGAATGTATCTGGCTCTGGATAGAAAAACCATTCCTGTTCTTGTGTTTCTTTTAAACCTTTTTTATTTTGATGCAGTTTGCCCATTCACGGGTGGGTTTTGTGTCTCCTTCGTTCCTTCAGTTGCATTCATTGTTTCTGTTTCCCCTTTTACGTTTGTTTTGGTTTTTTTTTTTTAAAATCCATTTTTTCACTCATTTTCCTTTCTGTTGTCCATTTTATCCTCCCGGCATTCAGGCTCTAGAGGAAGAAATAGAGAGCCACGCGGCCGACGTGTCTCGGGCGGTCGGTGTCGGGCAGTCCCTCTCCTCCCTGAGCTGTGCCGCTGAGCGGAGGCTGCTGGCAGAGAAGCTAGACTCTCTGCAGACCCGCTACGGCGAGGTCCACGACCGGTGCTGCCGGAAGGCAGCGCTGCTGGATCAGGCGCTGTCTAACGCCAGGCTCTTTGGGGAGGAGGAGGTGGAAGTGCTCAACTGGCTGGCTGAGGTCGAGGACAAGCTCGGCTCGGTATCCGTAAAGGATTACAAACGGGACGTCCTGCAGAAGCAGCATGCCGACCAGCTGGTATTTTCCATTTTCTTCCATGTTTATGTTGTTTATTTTGTTGCGTTTATCTGGTTTTATTTTTGTTTCTGGTCTGACTTTAATTTTGCAAAGCTTGTTCCACTGCTGGTTCTCTTCTAGGCTTGCAGAAATGTAAAGAGATTTCATGTGTTAAAAACAATAATTGTGGCCCCAAAAATGGGTTTCCCAGGGGGGAAACTTCAAATGATTCATTTGCTTTGTGAACAATGTCTGAGCAAGCTTGGCCACCCCGTGCCTTTAGAAAGCTGGATGCTGTTTCCAAGAACGAGAGCTTGAGAAGCCTGGTAGGTTTTCCGAGCCAGGCTGGCCACCGAGGAAGCCGTCTGCTTCCGCTCCCCGGGGGGCCGAGCAAGCTCTTTTCAAGAGTGAGGTTATGTCTAATACAAGGGCAAGTTCTTCGGTAACACATATCCAATGGGTTGGGATGGGTTTGCTCTAAGATTTGAGCCTTTGGGTCCCAGAAGTCCCAACAAGTCCCGCAGCAGGAGAAGGTTGACTGGACAAGTATCAGATCTGTTGTCCACCCTCCCCGTGCTCGGTAGGAGCAGTTCGTGCTGTGGTTAGCGTCTCCGGCCACCGCTGGCCGGCAGGACCCGGGGACCTGCCTGCAGAAGGGTAACCCCAATTTGCCTTTCTCTCCAGGCTTTGAATGAGGAAATTGTAAACAGGAAGAAGAACGTGGACCAAGCCATTAGAAACGGGCAAGCTCTTCTGAAGCAAACCACAGGTAACATGAAGAGCTGGGCGCGCTCTGGCCCATGTGGGGTGTCTGGGAAGCCCCCCATCCTCCGCGTGGTCTTCCCTGGGAAGTCCACGCTCTGCAGCAATACGTTGTTCGGGGGAGGTTGTTCTCCCTCAGGTCTAATTTCCTTTCGGATACTCCCAAAGTAGCTGGTTTCCATCCGGACCTGGATGCTGAGCCACCAGCATTCCAGCTTAGTAAATCCCGAGTACCAACCTCCCAGCTCCGTGAGCGGGTGATTCCCACCGCCGGGGTGGTGATGCTCAGCGCTGAGCAGCCCTGCAACGCGAGGGAGGGTTTTCTCATTGCATCCAGCTGTTAAATCACATGGAAAGAGGTTAAAAATACACCCAGCCCTTTCCTAATATTGCTTTCCCATACTGAGCAGTTGTTGCTGTTGCCACGTGGGTGTGAGTTTATGTTTATGAGTGGGAAGAAAGGTCAGGGCGATGCATTTCCTTCAGATGTGGTCTGCTCGGAGCAGATGTACAGACCTCTGTCCTTGTGGGAGCCGTGTAGCAGGAAGAGTGATTACAAAGAATTTGGCTTGCAGTTTCTTGTCCTCTCGGAAATAGCAGTAAAGAGTGAAGTGGACCTTTTTTCTTGAAGGACGTTAGTTGAGAACTGAGTTGTGGTGGCTCTGGGGCTTGTGGCAAAGCCAGGCTTCGCAGCCCGCTTCCATCCTGTTCCAGGGAGGAGGTGGATGTTACGCTGGCCGGTGGAAAATGTCAGCTCTAAGAGTAGCTTCCTGGCTGTAAAAATAGGCTTCAAAGTTGCCCTGATATAAAGAAAAGTGAGACTGAAATTAGCTATTTAAAATGGGGGGGACAAGGCAGGTGGCTCCTGCAGCCCCCCCAGCCCAGCATCATTTGCCCCTTGCCGCTGTCCCGCAGGGGAGGAGGTGTTGCTGATCCAGGAGAAGCTGGACGGAATTAAGACCCGCTATTCGGATATCACCGCCGCCAGCTCCAAGGCGCTGCGCACGCTGGAGCAGGCTCGGCAGCTGGCCACCAAGTTCCAGTCCACGCACGAGGAGCTCGCCGGCTGGATGAGCAAAGTGGAGGACGAGCTGGCTTCCAGTGGGGGACAGTCCCCCGCCGGCGAGCAGATACCCCAGTTCCAGCAGAGGCAAAAGGTGGGGGCTGGCAGAGCAGCACCCGGCGGGGACGGGGACGTGAGGGTGGGAGCCGGCGGGGGTTCGCTCGCTTTTTTGAGAGGCCGGGGAGGGATGTCACCTGCAGAGCGCTGAGGACACGTGTCCATGGGTCCTTCCACAGGAGCTGCAGAAGGAGGGGATGGAGCACAGGCCCGCACC